TCTAAAAATGTACTGCTCATATATCTTTGGGAGAAATTGATGTTTTTTAACCCCCATAACTTTCAGAGCAGTCTGTACCAGGCTAGCGATCTGTGACTTCAACTGGACTGTCAAGTTACCGTGCCAATACAAATACAATGCAAAATAGCAAATGTAACAATGTAATGATAATGACTAAAGCCATGCCTTTAGTCATTAAGCATGCCTTTAACTAAAGCCCCCCACCCCCTGAAGACTGCTCTGTCCTCTCTCCTGTAAGTAGTGTAGGTGTACAGAGACAGTGTCTTCCGGAGCATTACCATCTGGGTGTCGTCCTCAAACACCTCCCTGGCCTCCTCATAGCTGCAATGCTCCTCCACACACTCCCGCTCCAGATTGTCAGACACCACTATCTCAAAGTCCCAGCTGTTATAGAGCAGGGAGCGGGACAGGAAGGAGGACGCGGCCTGGCCGTCCAGCAGCACTGCTGCAGGAAACAGGACACAGGACAGTGTCATATCACAGTCATATCAGTGAGGAGACATTTTTAAACTCTGGAGTGCTCTCACCTTTTAATGATCTACTGAGACCACAGACTCACAAGGTCGCTAGAGAAAACTAATATGATACTACAGGATTATAATTTGTGTTATGTTCATCACTTTAATGTTAAATCTAGTAAATGAGATGCTCATTTATGTTTTTGATGTATGTGTATATATATATATGGCTGTGACGCTTGTAAGTTTCACCAATAGAGTTATATCTTAACCCTTTAATAATATCGATTATTTGTTGATCATACTTTGTAATATAAATAAGAATCTTAATCTTGAGAGTAAAGCTGTCAGCAAAATGTGATGAAATAAAAAGTACAATATTTGCATTTGAATCGTAGAGGACGATAATGAAAAAGGAGATACTCGAGTAAAGTCTCTTTAAAATATAAAAACAGTACAGAACAGAACAGTACTAGGTGAAGGAGCTGTTCAACAATGCACACATACAAGCGCCCAGTTTTATGTATGAGATACAAACGTCATAATGGTGTTTTTTCTTTTGGCGGGGGCAGTGTGTCTGAGAGGAGGGTTTACCTGGAGCCGGTCTGGAGAGCACGGAGCAGCAGGTCAGCTGAAGCAGAGCCAGCAGGGTCAGCCCGGGGGGGCACACCCCCCCCACAGCGGCCCTCACAGCTGCCATCAAAGTGCTACACTGCAGGAAGTGAGCAGAAGAGCCTCAGCAGTAATGGATCCACGCCTGTTCAGACGAGCCAGTCACCTCCTCCTCCTCACTGTTTGAGTGTCTCTTAAAGCTTTCAGGAAGAAAACAGCACTAACTCTTTCAGATTCATATAGACATGGCGGTGAACTTCTTCGTGCTGCGTTTCAGTTGAAACCGCAGTGAGTTGTGCTGTTTTCCCAGAGGAACGTCACATTACAAACCTGTTGGACAGCATAGCAGCTGGAGGGAGGAACCTCCACAAACCTGTCTGTCAGCCTGTTTCACTGTCCACACATTGCCTGTTTACTCACTTGTTTGGCCCACCAGTTACAGTAACAGAGTGTGTGTGGAGTTAATAGCCGCTTTCACACAAAGTACTTTGCCGTACTTAGTGCCCACTACTTAGTGCCAGCACTTAGTACCCCCATCGAACTAAGTACAGATCGCGTTCACACCGGAATAAGTTCCCTGAGGGAAGATTACCCAAATGAAGCCACTGACATCACTTCTTCTTCTTCTGCTTTGGGTTTACTGGCAGGCCGCAAACAACTTCACGGCGTATACAGGCAATGCATCTTTTTACCAACAGGCAGCAGTATAACATTTAAGCTAACCATGTACAAGGCAAGTGGAATAAGACGCGAGTCAAGGCGCACGCACGCACGCACGCACGCACGCACACACACACACACACACACAGGCTACTACCAATAGAAATACATTGCTTTTAAAATGGTTATGTGTGACACGAAAAAAATGGGAAACTGAGCTGACACACACACACACACACACACACACACACACACACACACACACACACACACACACACACACACACACACACACACACTTTAAAACAAATAACAACATTACAATTATGTCGCTGGTCGCTAACATGGTAGTAGAGCCTCGGCATGGCCCAGTAACCTACTGTATTAAAAAGCCTCTATTGCAACGTGAGCTTACCTTGTCATTGGTGGTGTTGACAGGGATTTTGCTGAAAAGTTTTCTAAATGCCGGCGACTCCACAGTTGACAGAGATTTCCTTTCTTCCACAACGTACTCTGCCACGAATCTCTTAACTTCTCGGGGTTCCAGAATCATAGAAGACCGAGAGAATGTTAACTTGTGTTGCTTCGGCATGCCCGCACTCACGTCTTCTGTATGTTTTCTTTTCTCCGATCCGGCAGATCTCTCGACTAACTTAGTGTTAGCGTGGCACCGGTCCAGGTGTTTCTTTAAGTTGCTAATGCTATTTCTTGAGGTAGACAATTCCTTTGCTGCCGACGAACATAGTTTG